GGGGCAGGGCCGCGCTACCTGGGCACACCTGCAGGCAGGCACACGCGTGCACACACACGCGCGCGTGCTCGGACCTGCCCGGCGCGGATTAGTTGCCCGTGGGGGGACGTCCCCGGATCGGACTGGACCGCCATGCTGCGCTCAGAGCGGGCCGAGGAAGGGGGAGGACGCAGAAGGCGCTGCCAGGAAGGCGGGGAGGGTCCCGGCGCCTAGTGGCGACTCCTCGCCACCAGGCGCCACTCCGGCCCCTTCGCAAGGGGCTGGGGCACTTTTGTTTGGAGGAAAGGCGCTGCACAGATTGACAGCAAACCCGGGCCCTCCGGGGCAGCTAGTGCTACCCTCTGCTCCGAGCGGGACCAGCCCCACCTACAGCATCCCAGCCAAGGCTTTGTCTTAAAACCCCCAAGGATGGAGAGTCTACCCCCTCTCTGGGTAACCTGCTCCAGTGCTTTAGTTCCCTCCTAGTGAGAAAGAGTCTCCTAAAATCCAACCTAAACCTGCCTTGCTGCGACTTGAGACCGTTGCTCCTTGTTGTGTCATTGGCCACCACTGAGAACAGTCCAGCTGCATCCTCTTTGAACCCCCCTTCAGGTAGTTGTAGGCTGCTATTAAATCCCCTCAGTCTTCTCTTCTTCAAGCTAAATAAGCCCAGATCCCTCAGCCTCACCTCAGAAGTCATGTGCCCCTGTCCCGGAACCTTTTCTGTTACCTTCTTTGGACTCCAATTTGTCTATGTCCTTTCTGTTGTGGGTGCCCAACACTGCACACTTTACTCCGGATGTGGCCTCACCAGTGGTGAACAGAGGGGAATAATGACTTCCCTCCATCTGTTGGCAACACTCCTACCAATGCAGCCCAGCATGCTGTTATCTGTCTTGGAAACAAGGGCACACTGTTGGCTCATATGCAGGTCATTGTCCACACTAGCCCCCAGGTCCTTTTCTGCAGAGCTGCTGCATAGCCAGCCAGTCCCCAGCCTGGAGCTATTAAGCAAAGGAGATAATGGCACAGCCTCTGAATCAGAACGTCCTAGCCCTTAAATGCTGATGGCTGCAAGTGAGAGAGGAAAAGTGAAAGAAAAACCCTGGTCATACTCTGTTTACTCTCCCTTTCAGCATCCACTCTCTCCCAGTGTGTGACTTGGGGGGGGGGGGGGGT